GATTCACATCTCTAGCCAGGTTCCCAGCTACTGCTGCTAGTTCTGGAACTCTATTTAGGAGAATCACTGCCCTGCATCCAGAGTAGTGGTTCAGTGACAAAAGGCCGCAACTGGATTCTTTCCTAGCTCTGCCGCTAATCAGCTCTGTGACCTTGAACAGGGTCACAGGGTATTATACCTTGAACAGGGTATTATTCATTCAAAGGAAGATCAGAGCGCTTCAAGATTCAATGATCTTATTGTTAACTTTCCATGCACTGCTATTTTCTTATTTATCCATCTTAGCCTGCTATCACTCTATGTATACTATCTAGAGACAAAAAAGCAGAGCTGGGTACCTCCAAATGTCACAAGCAGCAAAATATCCACTAGACTTAATATTCTCCTGGCTGAAAATGTACAGAATTATGGTATTTTCCTTCCTCATGTTGTTAAAGACATAGCACATTTTAAAGATAGAAACTAGACAAGTGGCATTTTAAGACAATACAATGTATTTATCTTACAGGAACAGACTAACAACCTTAAAATCCTTCCTACAAAGACTTGCTTTAATATACAACAGAATCTGGAGTCCTCATGACCACTAATTCATGACGCTGTTACTTAAGCACAGTTAGCTTTGTGCACAGAACACTGTAGTGGGCTGGACTTGGCACAAGGGAATTAGAAACTACTGTTGTGACTGCTCTGAAACCATCCTATTGACCACCCACGTGGCCCAATGCATTTCCTTACATGTTGCTGCTTGGACTTTCTCACAACTTAGCCCCTCCTCTGCCTCTACCACCTAAGGTCATTTATCTTATTATTCTCAGATCTCCTTGATGGTCATGCAAAGGCTTGTTTTAACTGTCTGGATATGGACATGGCTGCATGGAACTTCTCCTTCAACTTCTGTGTAACTTTAACTTTTTGTTTATATAAAAATTACATGACTTACTATTTCCCTCAGGTATTTGCTTCATCCTTCAAGATGCAATTCAGAGATTTACCTTCTCTGACTGCCACCTGTCCCACTAGTACTCAATCCATCTTGGTTAACATCCCATATTGCAGTCTCATGTGAACTGTCAATCCCTGAATCCCCAGGGTGTGGCACAGTGCCTGGCACTTAAGAAACCCATTAAATATTCCTTAAACATTAATCTATTTTCAAGTATAATTAATCCCTACTGTTTGTACAAAACTTGAACTTTTGTACACAAGCTTAAAAAATTACACAATATAAAATTCAAGATAAAGCAGTAACACTTTCTTTACAATTTTGCAAAGGGGGAGTATAGTCAAGGATATTAAAAATTGTATTAACCTTCATGTTTTTTGGTGGTCATACACAATCTAGAGACTAATTTATTCCTTTTTACTGTCTAAATCTAGACTAAAACATTACACTTTTAATGGAATCACATGTTAGCATAGTGCAAACCAGTTTTGCAATTAATGAAAAAATATTTACTTAGCAACTGTTGAGAGCAGTTTCTAAAAATACCCACCTCCCACCTTTCTTCCAATCCTAAAAATCTAATATAGCACTTCATCACCAAGATTTGTGTCACTGTGCACTGGCAGAGAACCAATGGATGTCTGCCTGACAAAACTGTTTCCAATGGTTATTCAAACTATTTCACATCCCTGCATTATTAACGCTGACTTAATATGGTAATGGTGAGAAAGGGCCACATTTTTCTACCTAATACATTCTACTCCATAAATAATCAGACTACACATGTACTATGGTACTAGACAGTGAGAAAATCCTGTCAGTGAATATACTAATACATTAGAATTACATATCTCTATAAACCTGATTATATGGAAATGCTCCAAAATTGTAAACGAAATATTTAAGACAGGCAAAAATAACCTGATCAAATTTCTTATTCAGCAGAATGTATACTACTTAGACGTGGATAACATATCTTAAATTCATCCAATATTAACCAACTCAATAAACAATTTTAAACTGATTTTTAAAAATTTCAATTTTTACTAAGATTTAGTAGCAAAACAGGATGACATTTTCTTTTCCTACACACACGGGGTACTTGGTGATAACTAGGTAAAGGCTAAAAAATGCGATCTATCAATATTAAGAATCGCTCTGGCTTAATAGCAAGTGTGGCTAGATCATTTTATCTTTAATGTGAACTATACTGTCATACCTTGGGTTCTAGTCTTGGTTGTGGGAACTTGAGCACATCTGTACATCTTTTGGGGTTTCACACACATCAACTGATCTTCAAGAGACTAAAGATAACAAGTATGAATATTTGGTCCTAAACACGGACTCTACCAATAGCCCAAACAGTTAAGTGGATGACTTATGAAAACCTATCGTATCATTTTGGATTTTAACTCCTCCTACACTACCATCCTGTTTGATACTCATTTAAGACCCAGAGACCATAAATTATAAGGGGTATAGTTAGCTCTCACTTATAAGGCCAAGAGTAAAGTAAATACCCCCTCCATTCATTATCTTTGGAACTAAAATGGAGACAGGACTTACCTTAGGGGAAGCTGTGACAATCAGGCATACCCAGGTAAAGTGCTTAGAAAAGTGATTGGCATATAGCACCAAATAACATTACCAATCTCGGGTTCAAAATGTTGACGAAGTGCTATATTAGATTTTAAGGGACACCAGGGTTCAACAGGATGAAAAACTAAAGGTTATCAGTTTAGGTCCTTGCTCTGCAAAACTTACTCAGCTGTCTTGCCTAAGGTAGTCCCACTGTCCTCAGTTACCCAATGGGACCAACAATAACTTTCCCACACACTGTTAAGAAAACTGACATGCTGCACACAATTTTGACAATCATAAAGTTTTACATTAAGTTCAATTCTGCACCGTTATGTTTACTCATCAAACTTGTACTTACTTTTAGCTAAATGACTTCTCTAATGCATCACTCATCTTTTTTATTAGCTTTGTACGGCCCCCTTCTCATTTTTGCTATCAATATGGAAATCATGTGTTCTTTTTCAGGAAGTTAACTTCCTATCATTATTTTGACAAAGTGATAGATCTGGCCAGTAAGAACCCTTCAAGTGACTCTTGTATCCTTCCAACCCATACCCAACACTTTTTGAGATTTCTTCTCTGGCACAATAAAAAGTTCCAGGTTCATTTTGTACTTTCTCTGCTCTAGCCCTGAAGTCAGACATTTCTCCAAGCAGCCATGCTTTCTTTTAGTATTTAGAAATCAAGATTGAGGTCTTACATGTGCTCACTGTGACCGCAGTTATCATGTCTTCTAGGCCCTCAGTGAACAGAGCTGGGAAGTAAAGGAAATATTACATAGATACACACAAATACTAAACACACAAAAGATAAAGGATGAGGAATTGTTCCCAATTAAAGAGTGTTACACACACAAACCAAAGCAGATAAATGATCCTTTTGTTGGATCCATGACAGGACTTGGGAGAAAAAAAGTTATGCAATGTTAGAGTAACTGATGAAACTGAATATAGACTGGGCTAGAAAGTTGGGTCAATATTAAACACGTCTAATTTCTTAGGAATGCTAAACTTAGGTGCAAAGGATCATGACTCTGTAACCTATTTTCAAATAGTTAAGTACATGTTAAAAGAACAAATGTACAAACAAGTGTAAATGGGACAAAATGTTAACAATTGTTGAAGCTGTGTCAAGAGCATAAGGGGATCACTGTATTACTGTTGTAATTCTGCTTTGAATAGTATCAAGATAAATTATAAAATTAAAATGCTTTAAAGTACCTCATCAACTAAAGGACCATTAACACAGGGTAAAGCCTTGATTCAGCTCATTAAGATGACCTAGCATTAAATATGCTCTGGCTTGTTAGTTTGAACAATGACTGTATTAATTATTTAGTAGATAAATACTTTCTTTCATCAATGAAAAGTAAAGTTTTTATCTTAATTTCTGAGTACCAAGTTAAAGCAACCTGTGCTAATATTTTTAATGGCATCTAAGAAATGTAGATTTAAAAAACCTAAATTTTGCTAAAGGCAAATAGTGATTTTTGAAGCAATTCGTAAGCTGCTAAATTTCATCTTAAAACAGAATGACTTCTTTCCACTTCCTCCAAGAGATCAGTCACCATGTTGAAGAACTGAGATCTGAAACTGAACCCCTACTTTTGTTCTCATTGTAGAACTCAAAACACAGTGAGTCCACAGCCTCAATCAAGCAAGACACAATGAATCTGACCAACTTAAAACATGTCTTAAGACAGCTGATTTCTCTAACAGCTCTGATATTGCTCAACATTTCCATTGTACATCTGCATATCCTCAAAAGTGGCCTAACAGGTCAGAATACAAAGCACTAAACAATATACCTTTTGATGACTGACTACAAAATGCATAGCAGATTCAGGTCATGTTACACCTAATTCATTCCTGTCTTAGGCAGTTTTGAAAGATGAGAGGTTCACTAAAAGTCAATACATATATTCCAGAGAAGAGTGGAAGTTATCTCTTTTTCTTTGAGGGAATCCCTAAAATGTTGTGAGCAACCATAATGTGATTATGGTCTCACTTCAAAGGGAACAGCACATCTCAGATACATAAATTCCCTGGTCACAGTTATTGCTGTCTAAAAAGTGACAGAGAGAAAATTTGAAAGACTGCTAAGTTTCAGTTTGGCTCAGAAAAAGTCAACTATCTCCCACACTACCGACGAATTTTTAGGAGCTAAGCTGAAAACGTCTAGGAAGCCCCTTTCCAAGGTTCCTTCTAGTCAAGTTGCAAGAATGTAATCTTGGTATCTCAGCAAATGTTAGAGAAAACTAGCTCAATGGCTTGGCTTCTAAAATCCTTTTGGTTGGTATTTTTATTACAATGGAATTAAGTTTATAAAGTATAGTTTGCTCAAAACATTGCAAGGACTAGTAGAAATAGGAAATCTCTTGTTGATGGAAAATAACAGTAAAAGCAACCCTCCAAAATTCCACTTGTAGGCCATAGGAGCATGAGCACAACCATATGGGAGGAGATAACCAGTCTCTCCCTTCATATATATTCTTTTTTATTTCCTTGTTATACCTTCCCAAAACAGAGACATTCAACAGTAGTTAGAATGGCCATCTCCCAACATTTAAAAAAACCGCACCCCCCAATGGGTGAACAAAGTAAAGAGTAGTAACCTAGAGTTCAGCTGAGTAAGCCACTGCGGAGCCTTAAGTGGTGAGGTCTTCCAATTTCAGAGTGATGTGTCTTCAACTTGTATCATCATTTTAGTGGAAAAACAATTTAATTTTGGTGAAATGAGATTCATCTCCCGACAGGATTAGTAACAGCATTCACTGAATTTCACATTCTTCTTTCGTGAACTGTGAAGAAAATGAATGGTAGCTAGAAGATCAATGGGATTCCAACTCCAGCTGCAGATGGAACGACAATATACCAGGACAAAAACACCTATATTTTGATTTACAAAGCTAACAGCAGTTTTAAATCTGCAACTTAATTACAGACCAACTACACCACAACCTTTTCAAATGGCAAAAATACAAAAAAGTTAAGTGTTACAAAAATATTTCAGAAAAAGTGCATAGTCTAAGTGCATAGTAAATAAAAGCACTGAAAAATATCTTGCTAGAGGGAGTTCAGCTTGGAAAAGTTATTACCAAAGCTAAACATTTTTATTTTACACAAACTATACTCAAAAATAGCTTTATGAGACTGATTTCTGGCTAAAAGTATCAAAGGGTTTATTAGTCAAGAAACAAATACCTTAACCAACATGGGTGGATAGAAAGAAAACAAAGAAGCTGCCTACCCCAAAGTTCATTAAGATTTCTGCAGTATGATGGTACTAATATATCCTTTAATGGCAGAATGTGGTAATCACTGAATTATTGCTAATGTAGTTTTCAAATAAAAAAAAAAAAAAACCTGACACAATCTGATCAAACACGTGTCAATTTACAATTTCAAGGTTATCTTTTACAAAATACCTACATTTACACAATAGGCGCCTGGCAGCATTTTCAGACAAAAGTTTTAAAATTTATTCTGACATGCTATAAATGAATAAATTACACTAACTTCCCTTGTGGCTCAGCTGGTAAAGAATCCGCCTGCAATTTGGGACACCTGGGTTCAATCCCTGGGTTGGGAAGATCCCCTGGAGAAGGGAAAGGCTACCTACTCCAGTATTCAGGCCTGGAGAATTCCATGGATTGTGTCCATGGGTCTGCAAAGAGTTGAACACAACTGAGCGACTTTCACTCTACACTAAAGAATAAGTCATAGAAAGCTTTTCTGTCTCTTGGGTCAGAAAAAGAGCCACAGTAAGACTGAGAGATAAACTGCAGATAATTTATAGAAATGGGTGGGGGCCGGGGAGGATCAGCAATTACAAGAATCTCTCACGGTATGATGCTCTCCAAGATTAGGAGTCAATCTGCCCAATCAACCAGGAATTTAGAGAATAGCTTCATTTTATAGATAAACCCTTTAACGCTTTCATTCTTATTCAAAATCAGTCCAGCTGTTAGTCTGAAGTTGCAGAAGTTACAATACCAAGTCCTGGCAGCTGCTGCAGCACTAGGTATTGTGTCTGCAAGTCATTAAAAAAAAAAAAAGAAGAAAAATGAAAGAATGCCTTTCCGCTTCAGGGCAAAAAAATTTTTTTAAATAAAAAACTTGGGAAAGTATGACAGTAAATCTAAAATGATTTGCAAAGGAATATTACGTAACAAATGGTTTGAAGTAGTCTATTAAAAAATTGGGGAGATTTTGATTTCATAGTGAGTCAGCAAGGCATTTTTGTTTTTTTTAAAAAATCTCATTTCCTTACAGAAACAGTTTATAGTTTTTAATGAATTTGTAAACAAAAAAGCTCCCATTTCAAAATAAAAACAAAATCCCAGATCATATAGATGTTTACAGTGATTACATTTATCTAAGCAACATACATACATGTTCAGTTGTAAGATGTTAACTAAATTTCTGTGACAAATATGCGCTTTTTTTTTTTAATACCAAGAACATTATAGAGTTAATGCAGAGTCCTAAGGATAATCTAGTAGTCACTAAGTTTTCTTAAGTCTTCACTTAGACGCTGTTTCTCTAGCACAGGTAAGCAGGCAGAGTCTTCCATATGCTCAAACACTGGAATCTTTGGTTGCTACCATATCAGCTGGCTTGCAGACAAGAAGCCAACCATTTTAAGAATGTTTTAAGTGAACAACTTGCAAACCCCAGGGATGGATAAACCCTAAGAATGCACAATTGTGAGCATTTACAACCATCACAACTGTGGCTGAAGACTGTTCATGCCGTTCTTCTGAAATGAGATCTCAAAGCAGTATAGTTCAAAATAAAAGATTTTAACAAAAAATTGGCATATGCACAATTTCTCCACCAATTTGTGTGTGTCAACCATTTAGTGAACTTTTCCACTTGAAAAAATGCAATAGAAAACTGACACCATGTTTCACTATCTCAGTTAATATTCACAATTACAGCGGCTACAACTCAGGACACAGCATCCATCACCAATGCTGCCCAGAGCCAGTTTATACTGAAATTAAGTTCTTTACACCAAGTAAATGGTTGTCCACAACCACTGGCTAGTGTACATATGAACTAAAATTTCTAGATTTGGGGAGAAACAAATGCTGCTCCGATCATCTGCTCTGCTTCTTCTGTTCCTTGATTCATGCTTAGAAACCTATTAAAAAAAAAAAATCAAAACAGAAAAACAGGTTAAAATCCAAGTTAAGTAAATTTTCTTAACCATACCCAAAGTAGGGAAATAACTACTTTAGAATGATGACTCATGCTATTCTCATCTATTTGAAAACCACCAGGTCAGGCCAACTGTTTAAAATTAAGAAAACCGGAAACTTCTGTTCTGGATGCCTCTAGGCAGGAGTGGTATACAAAGCCTTCCAGTCCAGCATACCATTCTCAGGATGGAGAATTAGTGTTAATTCCAATAAGCCTATTCATTTTACTTCTGTATTTCTAGTACCTAAAATACTTTATATGTGTTTGTCAAGTAAAAAATAAAAAGATTGCTTTATCAACTAGAAAATATAGTTTTAATCACACTATGAGCAAGAACTTTTCCATACATTATTTCTGATATGAATGAGGGACAAAAGGCTTTACTAACAAATGTATTAAAAGCACAACTATCTGAGTTATTTCACTGAACACAAATCTGGCAATAAGTATATGGTTTTTATACAGGAACCACAGACCTTTAAAAATTCTTTATCAGTTACATTAAAAACACTAGTTTTTACCACTGATCTGATGTGTAAATGAATGAGGCCTTCTGGCTTTTCTTCAAGCCTCCTCACTCTGTAAATATACCCCTCCTCTTTCACAAATTAGACCTTAGGGCTACTACATAAAGGCAGGTTTGAATAGGACGAGGCTTCAGGTATATAATTGCCATGTTCTACCTACAGCTGAAGACAATCAGAGGAACTATGTCTATCTCTAATGCCTATAAGCTTTATGTGTAGCTAAAAGGAATATACTGTCTCTCAACATCAGGAATATCCCATCAGCACCTCCTCTCACCTAGAGGCATCCATGCCCTCTTGGTCCAATTTCTCCTCTTAAAGCCAATATAATGTATATATATATAATTCTAGCTTACTCCATTGACTCACTCACTTTCTCAGCACAAATTATGTTTTGCCAAAAATAAGTTTTTGGTACTTCAACATTTTTAGGACCATCTCTGACAGGTTTTGTGCGATAAATGAAACAGTTCTGTAATTTACTTTTCCTGCATGTATGTCTTTGCTTTTTCATTTAAGGGCAGAAAGTCATCTTTATTCACATAAAAACCAGATTGTGACAAGCCCCGAAGGCAAAGGTGTGAGTACTTCTCTGTCTCTGCATAATGCCCAACAGCAAAGCAGGTGTGCTGCCTACCTCTGCCACCCATCCCAGTACTAAGTTCACAAAGCAAACGCGAAAAATGGAAGAAAAACCTTTCTGAAAATGTAGTTTATCACAACAAATACCACCTTGCTGATGCATATTAATCAGGATTAGCAGTACAACCACAAAAAGGCTGTCAGATCAAACGAATTTAAAAAATTCTGACTGTAAGTTTCAACTTAGTTTCAATGTTAAAATACAGAATATTTTGAAGTAGATTGAAACTATGGGTTAGCTAAATAGCAATGAGCCTTATCCTGATGAGTATCTGGTTTCAAGTCTTGCAATTATTGAAAAATACAGTAAAAATGTTTTCACAACCACTACGATTGCTGGGTCTTCATTTATCACAGCTTCTTACATGATTACATTACAGTGCATAATTTAATTACGTATCCACCTAACTTCTCAAAAGCTTACTGTATCCCACTTCATATAGGAAAGACCTACATTAGTACCTATTTTAACTAACCAGAAGAAATTAAAAGATTTTTTGCCTTTACAAAAAAAAGGCAAAATCAAAAACAGTGTTCAGCGTTTCACAGCAGACCTACAGGAAGTATGCACCTTGAGAGTAAGAATGGCACCACCAAGTTCTTTCCCCGGGAACTGCTCTCAGCCCTTAAGTCGCCACAGCTCTGAACTGTGTCTGCTAGCATCTAAGCATTACCTCAATGTATCAGCAACATGTATCCTAAGGTAACTTGTTTTTTCCCTTTATGTCATGCAGCTTTGGAAAAGTTTCAACAACACCCTACTTTCAGGTAGAGGGCAAACCTGTACTATGCTGAATATCCAAACAGCTTTAAAATAAAAACCACTAACAAACTAAAAAGAAAACGTAAGTTACATCATCAGTCAACATATTAGAAAACTCTTGTCTTTAATAAGGATAAGAATTATATCTGTTCATCTTTTTAATCTTATATTTGAAGAACTACTGGGTTAATTAATGATTACAATTGTTTAGGGACTGGTTAAAGGCTGGCCTAATAATATTCCTGGTAGAAGAGAGGAGTCAAATCCAGATTAAACTCTTCAGACGGGACAATGGTAGGATGTTCCACCCAGAGATCAATGTTTCTCCGGTGAATTGTCCTAAAATGTTACAGATGTTTGTTTAGGAAAAAATCTCAATAGGAGCATTCAGCAGGTATTCAATATTCAATCTTCAAGTATTCTTTTCCCCAGTGTGCATTAGTCCTTGGTTTGTCTTGTAGTTCAGGTGGTGTCTCCTGGCTTCTAAAAGTCCAAAACCCATCTTCATCACAACAGTTAAAATAAGGAATGAATCCATTTGTTCCTAAAAAGAAAAAAAAAAAGAGGAGGAGGGTAAAGTTAAAACAAGGCTGGAGGACTAACGTGACAAACTCAGGAGTAGCTACATTTAAGATTTAACAAATCTGCAAAAGAAGGAAAAATGCTCATTTGTATACAATTAATCAGGAGATTCTATCCCTCAGTCCAATATCTTAAAAAGTATATATTTGATCCTATTTGTAAATTAACTTCATATGAACTTGACTTTGTTTTTCAACAGAACCACAAACTAGTTCAAAGAGATACTTATCTAATAAGAGTAAGGCTAGGAAGTTTGTGATGAGCTTTTAAAATTCAGAAATCCTTAATAAGACATTACTTTTGACAAAAACATTGACTATAATATTTATATTCACTATGAATGCCATTTATATTAATGAACTTTTCCCCTTTTCCTATAACACGCTTGTGTAGTTTTTTTGTTTGTGCACAATCAGAATTAAGCTTGAAGAATTCTGAATCAGACTGACAATATAAAAGTTAAAGAAAAACAAAAAACAAAACATCAAAGAAAGAAGAGCTACAATAATTCTTCCTTTTCCACAGAAACTAAAATGTATTCAGTTGGGAAAGATAAGGGAAACATTTTTATCACTACAAACAAAATAGATGACAACTTAATACACGGGGTACACATCATCCTTACACTGCATTTTAAAAAGACTGATGATCTGATTTCTTGTCTTTTCTTTTATGCAATTAATTCTGCTACAGATTTTGAAGGATGTGAATTTTAAAATACCTGTTACAACTGATTCCTTCCCCAATTGGTAGATGGTCTGCATTTATACACCACTGAGTCAGCAGCACTGTGCTCTTCTAGGTCTTCCGACTGTTGTTCCAGGTCTTCTGTTGTTTCCAATCTGATAAGTTGAAAAGTTTGATAGGTCCAGCAAGCCTTAGAGATGTGGGCTTTAGATCATGTCAAATCAACTCTTAAGCAATCATCTTCATTTCCTGTTGGGTTATTTGGTTCTCTTTTCTCCAGCTTTATTGTCCGCAGTGAAAAAACACCTGATAAAAATTTCAGCAGCAGCTGAAACAGATGCAGCTCCCTGCCAACTCCTCTGGATTGAGAGTATTCAGAGCAAAGCAGTCTCTCCAGATATTTCAAGGTCTTCCCCTGTCATCTGGTTTATGCTGCTGAATGACCAGCCACGTTCCTGGCAGCAATTGGTGAAGCCAGAAAAAATTAAACTGGACATAAATGGTAAGAGAAGCCCAGTAAATAATGGAAGGTAATTCAAGGAAGATCATGGACACGTAGCATAATGTGATGGAAAAAGTATTTCTAATCTATTAAATGCCAACAATTTGACATCCATTTACATTATGATACAGTTATGCTTAGTAGCCAGTCGAATAGTAAACAGATGGGTTAAGATGATGAGAGTAATAGAATTCTGAGAGGATTCCCCCTTTGGCTTTGCTACCTTCTGCAATTTTCCCCATCTCTGCCCTATACTAAAGAAACAGTGAACTTAGGTGAATTCTGAATGTCCTAAAAATATTTCTCTTTCCTTTACTATTTAAATGTCCTGAAAAGTACCTTCCCTATAATCAATACAGTTGAATAAAAGGGAGTGGAAATGCATTTGGAAGTGTACCAGATGTAAATCTTTTCTTTTCCTCTTTAACCTGGATAAAAACAGTAACTGTAATCTCATAGCACCTGAGTACTTAAAAACAGTAGCGATCACAGCCAGCTTTACAGGAGATGCCTTGTTTCTTAGTCTTTTGATGGCCTCTGAAATGGAGTATTTCAAAAGATCTTTACGAAAGTAAATAGAAGTGTATTACATATAGGAAGTCCATCTTAGCTAAGTCAGACTTTGAAGTCTTTGCACGTTCTTAGTCAACTGCTGAAACAACTTATAGCTTTTGATGGAAGAAATATCGGACATGGATTTCCCCAATATTATTATATAAAACATATTAGTAAAAGCTACTATTTGGGGGATCCCCCACCCCGGAATGCATGTGCTTACAATACAGAGATTTACCTAAAAACTTAGTGTAGGGGTTCCTAAGAGAAGAGATGCCTTCAAACACCTTTATTACTCAGAAACTCCAGGCTTCACAGGAGATTTCTTACTGGATGACCCAGATAATGGAGTTGTGCGTAGAGGTTGGTTAGGGGGAATCGATTCTCCATTTCATGCCACCTTCAAGCTTTCATGGCTTTATATATGGGTGGGTTTGTGGAAGATCTGGTTAGGACACTAAGTTTTATATCCCAAATAAAACAAGTTAAAAGAATTTTGTTCTTAGTAGTCTGTGGTGATAATGTGGTATATTTTATGAATCATCCATGTTTGTGTGATATTTATATAACCCCAGTGTCTAATAACGCTATGGAATTTTCCCAAGATTTTAAGTTGCTCTTATAAAAAATGGCTACAATACAAAATAGGGATTAAACTTCAGTTTAATAACAATGTTTTTCGAAGGAAACATACTAACTCAGCGGATCCAGCTTTTCATCTTTTAGACCTGGATAAGGCAGGACAAAAATTCTGCTTGTTTATTGAGTAAGAGACACAGTAAACTAACAACCAAACTAGCTCAAAATAAGGTTATTCTTTCTGAAGGCTGCTGAATGCCTGAAGGAAGATGTTCTAGGTCAGATAAGATTTCAATCTAATTTTAGTTCTAGAAACTGCAACTTGTGATGATCCTATTATCCCAGCTAGCTTTAGGCAAAAATTTGTTTCATTTTGTAAAAAAAGCAAATACACTGTAGGTGTCAGGTCCTCAGTTTAGTCTTTGTGGTCTTACCTAAATGGCAGAACCACTTCTTAGCAATACTAGCTAGCTTCCTACCTCATTAAGAACTTGTTGACACTATGATAAGTGAAGTCGCTCAGTCGTGTCTGACTCTTTGCAACCCCATGGACTGTAGCCTACAAGGTTCCTCTGTCCATGGGATTTTCCAGGCAAGAGTACTGGAGTGGGTTGTCATTTCCTTCTCCAGGGGATCTTCCCAACCCAGGGATCGAAGCCGGGTCTCCCTCATTGCAGGCAGATGCTTTACCGTCTGAGCCAGACACTATGATTAGAAAGGGACAATTAAATCCCAACTATGATGCAGAGGCAGAGCACTGGACAAGCATTAGTGTTTGCCATCTCTAAGAACTCCCACTACATTAAACTTTCAACTCTGGATCCTTCCTAAATACAGAAACATGGAAGTGAACTACCTCAACTTCATTCTAATAGATGAGCTGCTGGGATGAGGATGACATCAGTCAACTATACTACTTGAACAGTATCCTCAGATTAGAACCTATTTTTATATTACAAAATTTTTAAAATGCAACACTAATAACAAGGACCAAAGAAGATCAAGTTCAGACTAGAGCAGTCATTCAGAAATTACATAATTAGAAACAAAAACAACAACAAAAAACCCAAACAAACCTTACCCACCCACTACACTTTTAGGAAGTAGGCAGGTATCAGGAGTTAAGCCCCGGAAAGGGGAAAAGAAAGACAGACAAATAACACAGGAATTGAACTGTGTGGCAACAGTGATAAGAAATGGTACTGTGTCCTAACAGTTCTACTCCTTAGTAGAATGTACTAACAATGTCAGAGAGAAAGAAGGGAAATAGACTAGCAGCCAAGTGGCATTCGCCCCAGTTTTCCTTTTTTTCCAATTTGCAAGGAGTTAACTGCAGAATTCAGTTCTACAGCAGACCCCATTTAGATCTTGAATATTTGTACAATTTAAAAAAACTGAAGCCCTAAGGAAAAAAATCCTTTTAAGAACACATGTTGGTAAATAGCAACTAAAAAAAAAAAGAGAGAGAGATTTATTTTTGTGATGAGAAAGGATGTGTCGAGCTTTTCAGTGATTTGAGCATTTAAGAGATTGAGGTGCTCTGCAACTGAGAAGACAGACACTCCGGGGGCAATGCCAGACTCCCCCCTTGAAATTAGATAATGTTCTCAATGTTCCATTTTAAATGCTAAAGCATTAACATGCAGAAAATTCTTAACACTGTTAGTTGAAAAGTCAAAATACCATGGCTAACCAGATTTATTATTAAAAATCAACAAGTGTTAGGTCTAGGATTTTGGATTGATTGATTATACCATATTCCCAACACCAAATGTTTATTTTGGAAAGGGTTAATGAATGAGTAAAAAAGATGCAATTGTTAAAAAATGACCCAAAATCCCAAGAGAATGATATAATATACACACATATATGTATATACAAATACATATACATATATATATGAACAAGGACATTTGGGTTTAAAGTTAGTAGTCAAATTTTCCAAGGACGTCTTTTTTTAACAACAAAGAGCCAAATTTTTATGTATTTTAAAACCACCTCCTCGATCTAACACTGTTAGAAACGGATGAATTACCCAATTTTGTGTTCAATTTTTTTTCCCTGTAACGTCACTTGGTTCTTGGCTACTAACCTTTCATGTTACTCTTGGTTTTGTCAGTTTGCTTGCCTGTGGGGGTTTGGGCCTGCTGACCCTGCCCACTTGAAGAGGCTGCCTGCTGTGCTGCTTTCTGCTTTAACATTGTCCAATCAAATGTGTAGTCATACTGGTGATTCAGGGTCCTAGAAAATATAAAATTTTATGTTAATCCATTAAAAACAAGGTCCAATACTGAACTTTCAAAACAGTGACGGCATTTCTTTTCTTTGTGGTAGCTCCTGTAAGATTTCTTTCCCTATAGTTGCCTTCCTTTTTGATTAATTAATTCCACTTTTTACATATTATGATTGGAGGGAAATGTCACCACTTTGGTCTGCTGTATTCAAGAATAATTAAATCCTCTCCCTTTTCAAAAAGAAGCTGCCTTTAAACTTTTTTGAAAGGAGCAGGGGAGTGGGAATGAAGGGCAGCACGAGAGAATTCCCTAATGGTCCAGTGGTTAGGGTTCCATGCTTTCACTGCCAAGGGTGGTGGTTCTATCCCTGGTTGGGGAACTAAGATCCCAGAAGCTGCTCTGTGCAGTCAAAAAAAAGAAGCAGAGCAGCATGAACAACAAAAATACTGAATCAAGCTATCAGTTATCTGGGGGAATATTCATAACAGACGGTACCCCCTGAAGACAAATCAAAGTACACACGGAACTGTTAAAGTTTGAGAGACAGATGTCTATGCTGACTTTGTCTATGCAAGACTTTTGTAGGATTAGAGGATTATCCCTAATTTCTTCTCTTCCAACCAAGATTTTTGAGTCACATGTACTTTATTTTTCCCTTTTGTTTAAGACCAATTATGGGTTGTTTACCTAAGGACCCTAGAGTTTGGGCCTACCTCTACAGTATCATAAACTTTGCCTGATTTTAAATTGTTATTCATTTTGGTATTAAACAGGATTCTCTACCAAGTTGGAGAGTCCCCAGTTCCACCAACAGTTACTTGTATCTAATACTTACATTCTACCTTGAGCAAGATTCAATGGTTTCTCCATCTGAAACTACAACATTTCAAGGACATTTGGAAATAAAAAAATGTCAGCCTCACAGTTCCTTAACATTTCATTCATATTGGTTAGAACCGCTTTTATCTGCAACTTGTCAGAACAGGTATGTTGGGTGGATTGAACTAATTTCCCTCATCGGAGTTTATAGTCTTAAAAACTGACCTGAAAAGAATGCGGAATAGCTGCCTCAGGTACATGTAATCCGGGGCTTCCTCAAAGCGCAGCCCACGACAATAGTTTAAGTACATGGCAAATTCTGCAGGAAATCCCTACAAGTTCAAGAGTTAAAACATAACATTAAAAAAACAACAAAAAACTCAATTCTAAGAAAATTCAGTGTTTTTAAACACAAGCAAGAAACACATTTTAGGTATCTTACTTCTTTGCTGGATGATCTGAGAACTAAAAAAACAATTATGACTTGTTATCCACACGAATTTAACAAAATTTCATCATCCAGACCACCTTACTATGTATAGTATCTTTAAGTATTGGTAAAGGAAATGCATATCCTTTTCTTACAGTATCAGGTTCTTAAATAATTTAGATACCAGACTTCTTAACCTATTAGTTTATTAACGTCCAGTAACTGGATGGCAACAAAGAATAACTAAAATGAGGCCTGTAATGTTTGCCAGAACAGGACAATGAATGGGTACTCTTTCTCCATTCTGAAATTACTTTAGAAATGCAAACTATTAAAACAAAAACTCCCAAGTCTCTTCCCCTTGAGTAAATGTGAATGTGAAGGGTGATGAATTACAGAGGCAGTCTCTTCCCACAACTCTATGGTTTTGAGAAATTTCTCATATACAGAAGATAGGATAAAATGTGTATAACATTTATTTTTATTGATTATATACTGATAGAAACAAATTTAATTTTTACAAAGTACTTTTATGCTATGTCATTTTTGGTGGACAGTTAAAAATAAAACATACTGCACATTTTAATTTTTAAAAAACTCGTAACAGGGCTTTTCATTTTTTAATATATATTCAGAGGCTGTATTAATAGTATTCCATATTTATCATATGAACTTGCTTTTACAAAAGAAAACTACCAACGCAAGTGTTACATGGTAAGTTATTGGGTGAACTATAACATACGAGTATTTTATTCATTAGCCTAAAATTTATTTCATTATTTAAAACAAAGACTCTCAGAAAGGGTCTTATTTTCTCAACCCATCCCCTCAATTCCTGCAGATATGCAGAAAAAGGTGAAAACCAATTTGTAGGTGGGGAGACACATAAAGCCATCACCATTTTACACCCTTCCACAAAGTGCAATTTCAACTCATGCTGATTTCTCCCTTCTACCAGATAAATATATAATTATACATTGTTTTCTAATTATTTCAGGTATACAACTGTCACAAAGATGACCATGTGGTCTTTCTATGGAAGAGACATCATGACACAAGTATCTTTCTATTCTCAACTTACATGCTTCTCTCTATAATGCTTGAGATTTCAGAGAAATGAGCCTGATTCAAACTGCCATCTATATACTACTGGACACTTCCTATTTTTGGATTGTTCTAATCTGCTTGCCTTTGTTTCCCTAACTCCTCAATATACCAGTTGTGGATATTCTTTCTTCTCTGGCACCAGCTCAGGAATAAGAATATTTCTTACTCACAAATCAGTGAGGTTCTATTAGAAAAGTTTACCCGCTCTCTTATTTTTTCTCTAATTTAAAACAGATCATATAGCATGTAAACCAGAAACACAATTATTTAAAATGACTCATATGTTCAAGTCATTCTTAAAAATACCAAGAATCAACCAAAAGTAAAGTTAAAACAGTAAACAGTTACTCAATAGGAAGTTTAAGTTCTGAGGCTGGGAAATAAAATGTTCATTTTGGTTTTGGATCATTCATATTTTTAAACAAATCATCAGTGTACACTTACCTTACATAAAACTTCAACAGGTGTGGACATCTTCTTTTCACTAATTTTTTCATATTTTTGTTTCTTTGTTGCAGCCTGTGGAGAATAAGAAACAAACCACACAAACATACTCAATATTACGAGAAGATAAACTAAACTTATTAGTTTAACATGGTACACATAAAAATAAACTTGCGATTCAAGAGGAATCATAACCTAGGAAAAAAGGGAATGAAAGCATAATACATTTAAAATTTTCCCCCTAAGCTGTTAACTTTTCATATGACTTTCTGCTTCAAGAATGTTTTTAGCTAATAGGAAAGACTGAGTCTAACAGGAACATTAAAATATATGATTTAAGTAAAAATAGGTGGGCTCAAATTTTAAATTAGATTCCTTAACCCATGTTCAGCAAGGACAATGGTATAAGCAGATCAATACCAAACAAATGTGCCCATCATTTAGTTAACATTAACAACTGTTGTTACTTTTCCAGTGTAAAAATATTCACATTGGATAAAGCTACCTACACAACACCAAGCAATTTGTCAAGCTTACAGATGCTCAATAAACATATAGACTATTTACCTTGAAAGAACCAATAAAGTACCTAAATAGCCATTAAATTCTTGAACACAGTAATTTATCATTAATTTATGAATACAAAGGCAATGGCAAAACTCCTAATTAATGGAAACAGGTAAAATGTTAGGACAATTAAATAATATAGAATTACTGGATAAACTAGTTCTACTGTACAGAAAAGTAAACATTTTCAACTTAATGGCAACACACTAAAACAAAAAGCAGGCAACTTGAATCTAGTTTACCTTTAATCCTTGCCATGGCAGGCTGGTTCTATTAAAATACATCAAAACATATCCTAATGATTCCATGTCATCTCGGCGACTAGAAAAGGAAATGTAAATTTATAAGCTGAAGTTATTATGAAGAACATGTGAAAGAAAGCAAGGTACACCAGGAGAAACGTTCCCAAGCGAGGATAGAGTAATTTGTCATCATGAGCAACTTAAGGTAATTTTAAAAAAGTTCCTAATGGGTTACTTCTAAACAAAATTTTCTCATAGAATTCAAAATTATAAAATCCAACATGATCCTGCAACTTAACTTTTACAGAGAAAAAAGAATTTAGCTAAATAACCTTCTTCTCATGAATTTCCCTAACCTGGAAGTGTATAATTTGTCATTTCTACGATTATTTTAAGGGGCAAAAAGAAAAATGATTGACAAAAGATGAAAGTAGATGAAAAACTAGAATTCAAGTCAAAAAACAGAAAGAGCACAGAAATTATGACAGTGTTTAAACCAAATCCTTTATGTAGGGGTGGAAGAGGAGAATGGAGGATGGTCCACCAATCAAATTTTGATTCATTAGGAATCATGTAGTATTTTCCGTATGAAAATAACCAATACATTCTTTCCCCAAACTCAGCTTGCATCACTAATATATAAAAAGCACAAGATCACCATTAAGGAAAAAAGTATTGCTTTTAGCTGCAGAAATAAAGTTGCCTTTACACTTCTAACTTCCAAGGTGCAGTATTTCCTCCTCAAGGGACAAGTTTCAACAAAGGAAAACAAAAAGGCTTCATTTAACTGGCTTCTCTGCACTGTCTAAAGAAGCAGGTAAAGGAAACTAAGTAAAATATTTCAAAAACCCATCAATGGCTTTTGCTAGGGATTTGATAAACACACTCATTCCAGACTCACCTCTGCTCAATACCAAGATGTGCGTTGATGCTGGCATACCGAGCGGTGCCGGTGAGGTTCTTATCTTCTCTGTACGGTATGTGTTGCCTGGTCCTGTTGTCTCTGTACTTTTTGGCCAAACCAAAATCAATAAGGAATAACTTTAAAAGAAAATAAAGAGACATTAGATTCCCAATCTTGTTCAAACTGCTTCTTATTTATTAAATGGCATTTATTCTATTTTGTTCAACCGTTTCAAAATAAAGCATCGTAAGCAGAACAGATAATGAACAAACTTAACATTTCAATAAGCTTTTACTAGACCTTATCAATAAATCAGGTTTTAAAAAAATACAGTTACATCAAGCGGCTGATCCCTGTCAGCTGAACAATTTCACAGGCCCAGCTCATTATACATTCAGAAGCCTGTCTCTGGAACCTCCAACGTAGTGGAGAACTTGTACACGTGCTCGATAGCAAAGCTGCTGACAAGTGTGCTGTGTGCCATAATGAAGCCTGACATCCTGGTACTAGTGGTGAACAAGCATGGGGTTAAAAAAAACAAACTAGACACAAGCCACCTGGAACTCTTCCGTTCTACAAAGGCCACTCTTTAGTACGTCAACAGAATGTTCATTATCTGAAATAAGACAACTCTGAGAGTTTGATAGTGACAATAAAACCAGGATTTTTATTTATAATAAGTAAGTACTTTAAAAACAAGCATACACTTCATTTTATTCCCAAATGACATTTACACATGTGATCGGCTTAAGCTTCTGGAAAATATAACAAGTTGATCTATTACTTAAGTCAAGGTGGCTTACAATTAGCAGCTTAAATGAGCTAACTAAAAACCAAAGTATTAATAGTATCTCAAAACAAAATAACATTTAGTGCTGCTTCATTTATATGACACGCAGGGAATAAGATGCCCATTTATAATGTAGCTAATTTTTAGAAGTAATTCAGGTTTATTCTCCATGATTAAAACTTTTATATGAAGAACAAAAGAAGCAAAAGTATTTTTAGGGGAAAAAACCCAAAATATGTTCATATTTACCTACCTTCTAAAGCAAAATAATCTTAACTAAAAATTTTATCTAGCCTTTACCATAAAATCATTTATTTAAAGTTATGCCTACAAAATTTATTAAGCAAAGCAGGTCTATGTGCTCTTACACTATGTGGCCCTACACTATTCTTTTCTAGTTACACCTCCATTTTGTACTTTTTCTTCCTATTAGGCTGACATTGGGCCCCTTCTGCTACAGTTTACAGTGTGTGATGTACTGGGAAACATGATCACCTAGCCTGTTAGGGTCTGCCTCAAAAAATAAAGCAAATTACTGATTTAAGTGGAAAAGATACCACCAAGTGCTTCTTTTAGAAAGATGAAAAATACTTATTGCAGGCAGGCACTATAATCTAGCCTCAGTTAGACACTGGGTAGGAAAGACTGAGATTTGTGCTTCTGTAACCATGTTAACATTGAAATACTTATTTTCATCTAGTCTATTACAAAGAATAAAGATTAAATTTTCAGTAAAATGTAATTGGATAATGAAAGTTCTTTAGTATGATTAAATGACTGAACAACTGAGTTACTATAAAATAGGAACAGAGAAATTAATGTTATAAATCACTAAGAAATAAAAGACTTAAAAGTATGAGCTTTAAGTTTCTTTTGATATGAAAACTGGCTCAGTACTCAAATATTAAAACGAGCAATATATATTTCTGTTAAGCAAAACAAAAATTATGACTAAGTTCTACAGATTCACACCGAAAAGAAAACAAAGGAAAAACAAACACAAAAGGACATCCACCTTTATAGCATTTAAAAACTATCTCTAAGAATTATGTGAGTTATGAATAAAAAGTGATTAGGACAGACTTTCTTCTGAGGACTATCTTCTGAGATTGCTTTCTTTAGTACTCCAAAATGGAGGAGAAAACAATAACCAACTCTGATAGGGATAAGTCTGACAGTGATTCATTCATGTCTAGATTCAATAGCTTCATGTGCAACTCAATAATCACTTTCTTAACAACTGGAAGACTCTGAGAATTCTTCCCTTCCACAACTCTAAAGGACAAAATCTAACTTATCAAGGAAACAAAAATGAAACACTATCTTCTTAAGCATCTCAGTATCAAAGCAAAAAATTACAAAGCAAATGAATTTAAAATTTTCTCCTCCTATAAAAACTGAAAATAAGTGAGGGACACTGATAAAAAGGTATTCCATTTGAAGAGCAAAACAACTGAAAACTACTTAAAATTTATAAATCTCTTGATAGTTCATTATCTAATGGTACCTATTCATGCATGCTTCTTTAGTAGCTCTCCATGCATCGAATTTAAAATGAATAAAAACATACATAAACGGGAAATGTTTACATGAAACCATGTGATACCAAGGATACAACCAAAATAGCTGCAGATATGTAAAACCAAACAAGGAAAAGTCAATATCCAATGTCATAAAATACTTTTTTATAGGTCTGCATATACAAACAAGACATCTAAACTCTTTGGTGGTCAAGCTGCCTTTTTGTGGACTTTTTAACTACATGTTCAAAAATTTGTGCCTGTTTTAAAGAAAGCAGCATATTCTTCATATAGAAATGAGTTAATGTTAGGTATACTGGGATAACTCATTTAGGAGAGGTATATTTTCTTCAGAAATACTATTGCCTGTTTTAGGTTTTGGTATTTCCAACCATTTTTCTCTTCACCAGCGGTCATATTTCCTTGCCCTTTTAAGAATTCACAGGATCACTTTTCCTTATAACCCAGAAAACCTATCACTATAAGTAATTATGCTGTAAGATATGAGTAAATTGTGTGAATGTATATGGATAAGAAAAAATAGGGCAGTAAAGCTGCCTTACAATGTACCTAATTACCCACCATTCTCTCTCTGCCCAGTCAAGATCTAGTTAACACAGTTGGTTATTTCTTTGTCTGTGAATAAAAATAAAACCCAACTTCTAAAACCTTTTTTAACAGCAGGAGAACATAGTTCCTGATATAATGCTGGGCAGTTTGGAAAAGGATTAAATGATTGCCCAGATGATACATGTGGTTTAATAAAGAAACTACAAAGTATGCTCACACAAATGCAAATTTTTTCCTTTTTTGATACTTATGTCAACATTTACTTCTCAGTGTATACTACTGATAAAGATTCATTCATTCAGGAGCTTCAAAAATTAAGTACCTAGGTGGTGTTGATTTTTTAAAAATTTATTTTTCTTTGTTTATCTGAAAATTCATACAATAAGTAAATGAAGAGTAAGTGAAAAGCTTCCTTACATTAAAAAAAATTTAGAAAATTTGAGTGTTTTATCTAGCCTGACAAATATAAATCATTAGGTTATACATCTGTTTATCTTATTTATGTGTTATTAATGTTAATTGATAAGTGCTTCAATTATGTTATCATTAGAATGCAGTGCATTCTAGTTCCAGAGTATATAATGATCTTTAAGCATTTTATGCTACTTGGTTGAAGTTGAGAGAATTCTCATACTGAAGCAATCGATTCTAAAAAAAACTATATCTGAAATCTGATACACACTTAACTCCTGAAGTTCATTAGGGAAGGGGAAGAGTTGAGGCAGAATATCATCATTCAGCAGTGATGCAACTCCAAATTATTTTTTAAAAATTGAACAGTCTATCTCAAATCTACCACTAGCTAAACAATATCAATGTTAGACCAACATATTTCCTCTTGTGGATGTTAGAGATCTAAACATAATCCTGTTTTCATTTAGGTTTTCTCTAAGTTTTACAAGCTTTAAGTAAAAGCCATAAAGAAATATCTTAGTAATGTTATATGTTTGCCAAGTATGTCTGAATAATGCCAACGTAAGAGGTGCTTGAGCAAGATCTATATTCTCCAGAATTAAAACAAACAAAAATAATCAAACAATAAGAAAGAAAAGCACATGAATTTGGGATTGAGGTTGGAATAGGAGACAGTTTCAGACCTGGTTTAATCCTGAGAAAGATGGGTCCTGAGAAGTACTAACAGTCATGCTTCTTTTCCTCTTCCCCACTGGAGATTCTAAACACTAAACAGACAATAGAGGGTGGCAGTGCATCAAACAGTATTGCTTACATTGCAACAATGGCCGGCGCAGACAGGCAACACCGAGGCATTAGAGAAAGAACAGGGTAGCCAAATGCCATCCTTCTTCCACCAAGCACTGTAGCTTCTCAGTTTTCCAAATAAGAATCACATGCTTAAGAACATTTGAATTCTGGAAAGTATTCAGGTTTTTAATGCCACTATATTGTGTCACTGCCTGAGACAGGGATAGCAATGGTGACATTTGGCTCTTTAATTTTTAATACAAAACAGGGAATTTGGATCTGCAATCTTTGGCACCATAATCTGCCCTTCCCTTAAAAAAAGATTGCATAGGGGGGGGAAAATCTTCAGTAAGGAAGAGGTAGAAGGCATTTAGTCACCTTAAAATTTATTTCCATAAGCATGCAGGGCTGATTACTGGAAGAGTTGAGCAAATTCACTACGGTTGGAGTGACTACTCCTAAATATCAAATTCAGAACAATTTTCCAAATAAGAAATTTGATTTTAAAAATCAACCTCAAATGCCCCCCCACCCCCAACTCTACCGACAAATAGAAAACTACTACAACAAGCTGACCAAAGAATCCAGTCTCATAGGACTGGAATATTTCAAACTACAATACAGAAAACACTAAAAACCAACTACATAAACAAACACTAACCTAAAATGTTCAAGAACAACATTCAGAATCTTAGGTAAAACACTGCACTTCTAAACCTATGGTCTCTCTGAATCTGTGTAACAGCAAAGCAATTTCACAATCTTCTTTTTAGTATCTCTAAAAGAGGATACAAGATTCTAAAAAGGTTTACCTAACATTGGGCAATCTGGATTTCCTAACACAACTAAGTGATTAATAAGCTATTTGGGGCGGGGTGGGGAAGCAAAGACATTATCTGGACTATCATTAAGTTTAAGACAAACCATGTACTGCAACATCAACATGCAGAACATGGATTACATGAGGATAGAGGGTCTTTAGAAGAAGAAAATGGGAAGAAAAGGCTGGGAAATGGTCAAAAGATTAGGGTCATTCTGACAAAATTGCCTGCCAAAATTAAGACTAGTAATATTTCAATTAAATTAACCAGGTTTTAAAATAACAAGAACCTGGATGCTTCAAAGAGAGAAGCCACATAATATTTAAAAAAAGAAAAAAGATGCGATTTGGGAATGGCAAGAGAGGTTACATGTAGACTTAAACACCTTCTATCATTTAAAGCTCAGCTTTTAAGAAAAATAAAATTAAACTCCTAAAACCTGGTCAGACCAACATTAATGTCTCACGCATTAACAAGTAACACCACTTCTAATGGTAATGGCTCCAAGTTGGCATTCATACAGGCAAACAAAGGTAAACATTTATAGCTGGACCTAAAAACGTCAAACATTCCCTAATGACTAAATAAAACAAATAGGAATGTTCCTTCCAAAAACAAAACAAAAAACACAAAAACCCCCAAGTTGTCCTGAAGTTGAGAATTTCTATCAGATCGTCAGATCATAACATGCTTAGTGCATTGCCAATGCTGCCTGTCTGCCCGAGCTCAACAATTGAAAATAAAAGCAATTCACTCAGTAAAACTAATCATTGCAGAAAATTGTCAACACAATTAGTTTCTAACTGCAATCATGCGTCACTAGCTAAAACCCAATCACCCCGTAAGTTCAACCATTCTGTGGCCCCCAATGAACACTAATTTCATTGTATGAAAGTTCATTTCACTTGTCTACACTTTCCTTTGAACAGGAGAGAAGAGGGGTGGAAACCCCACCCAAATAAACTGTCAAACTACTTTTGAAACAGGCCCAAAAGTTATCCTTTTGAATACACAAATCCAAGGACTGAAGAATTCTCATTATCAACCTTGCTCAGTCAGCAAATGTTAACGCCATGGTGACAGATGGGTGGGACAGTGGTTCCCACATTGGCACAAGCACATATATTGCAAAAACCCACACTTCAGAAAGAAAGGTTAAAATCTGATTTTTAGCATTCAGGCAGAAAAGTATATGGGTATATGGGTTTTTTGTTTGTTTGTTTGCTATTCGAATGAATGAAAAATACATACAATAACATAGATGATTACATTTCATTATAAAGCCCTTGGAATTTTATATTTCTATATAACTAACTTTGGTTGGGTTAAGTTGGAGAGAATTTATTTCAAGTTACTAAGTTAATGGATTACCCTTCTAGTACAGTCTTTTAAAACAATTATCAATAGCAAATTCAACTTCCTATGACTTTTTAAAAGACTTTCAAGTTCACCAAAGTTCATCAAAGCAATTCTTGGAAGTTTTACTCTTTGTTCTTTCATGCAAAGAACATGTGACTAACCTTATTACAGTGACGCCCAATACCCATTAGGAAGTTATCTGGTTTAATGTCTCTGTGTATAAAATTCTTTGTATGCACATACTCGATTCTACTGATCATCTGGAAAAAAGAGGGGAGAAGAGAAAATCAAGTTAAGTGATTTGCACTAAGAAACAAAAGAAAGCAACATATTGTGTCTCAATTATTTCAATATGTCAATCATTTTTCAAGATCACAAGTATACTTTATTAACTTTATTTAGAGTTCAAAAAGACAATGCTAGACTAAATTAAAAAGGACAGCCAGGCTCTGAATTTACCTCCAGACTAACAGACTAATACAAGCATAAACCAGCAGTTTCCTTTGAGCTTATTCTTTCAATATGAATGATTATAAATATGACAGTACCTAACCTGATAGAACTGTTTTTTTTTTAATTACAAAAGTAATAAACTTAGAATTGTTTCAGTCGTTGAAAGTTATATAAAGTAAACATCAATCCTATGCCCCTTGAGGTACCTGTGTAAAAAGCCTGCTATTACTCAGATCTATTTTCATCCTCTTCTATATGTACACACACAAACTTACATGTGCTTCAGAGTACAGGGTGTTGACCAACTGACAGATATAGTTATACATTGTTATTTCTTTAAACTAAAATAGAAGTAGTCCACTCACTTTATTTATGTTCACTGTTTTTAACTAATTATATCCCAAACATTTCTTGAAGTTGATACCATACAATGTAAGCATGTAACTTTAATACAAACGGGGACATATACATGCTGGGTTTCCTTTCTGGCATGCTTTTCGGACTCTCCCATGGTTTTTCTCCATATTTGTATGATCATATTCCAAAACTAACAAACATGGTATTCTAACAAGCTTTTAATTTCCTGGAAATTCTGCCAAGTCAAGTGGTATGGTCTTATCATTCTTTTTAATGACGATAAATATTCTATGGCACAGACGGAAGTACCCCCCAATTGTCCCCAGTTATCCCCTAACTCACAGTACTAATGCTCACTGTTTCCAATATCCTCTCACCACAAACAGTAACACTATCAAAATACTTACATATCCTTATCTACTAGCACTTCTATTTCTGTGGGTTATAAATCCCCTATCATTGCAGGGAGAGTTGATGCTTTGAAGGCAAACTGATTGTCTTCAAAATAGACTATAACAACTCATTTTTTCAGCAGTAGTGTTTTTTTCCCAGTAGCAGTTATCTGTTTTTTCTAAATCTTGTCAGTTTTCACAGGTACTGACTTTACTTGTAAGTTCATAACAGTTAAAAAACATGCTCACTTTTACTGACCTTTTGGATTTAGTACTATACTGTGAACTGTCAATCCATACTTATCCATTATTTTTTTGGCTTGTCCTTTCCTCATCAGTTTTTAAGAATTCTTTGCATACAACAAACAATCTTTTATCAGTCATTTGTTATGTAAACAGATTTAAATTTTGAAAAAATTTGTCATTTAACTCTGGTATTTCTTCTATAATAGTTTAAATTTCTAAGTTATCAATTATGTCTACCTTTTGGATAAATACAAGTTGTATCTGAAAATGTTTTCCATGTCCAAAGGCTGCCAACATTACCTTTCTGTCCATATGTTTTTCCTCTTCTTAGTAGTGTACGTCAGGATTCTATTTTTTTACTTGCCTGCATTTTCTCTAGAGCTTTTATCACCAAGGATATAAATTCTAAATCTTATTCCTCTACCTTGGCAAATGGCTTGTGAAGGCAAATTGTAATCTCTGGCTTAAACTATACACTCAAGGAAATAGATGTATACAATGTTCAAATACCATCTTTAGGTACAGCAGTAATTCATATATTAAATAAGTAAAACAAAACATTTGTCTCACTTTTTGTACCAGTCAAGTACATAAAGTATTTGTTCTAGACTTTAAGTATTTGTTCTAGCCAAGTAATACTTATCATTAAACTATCAGTATTAACTCTGGGGGAAGGTCAGGCAAAAGATAAATTAACAGCACAAACTACAGACTACTCAAGTGTTGCCTGTCATTTACAGAACAAGATCAGCTGGTTCTTTCTTAAACAGATGCCTTCCTACAACCCCCTTCCCTAAATTACATTATGTCTCTGATGTTACCAGAGTATCCAACATAGACTTCTATGACAGAAACCATCCGTTTTTCTCCACTAACTCTATGTTACAAGAGGGAAGAAACTAGTTCTTATTTTTTGTACACTCCAGTGCTAAGTACAGTGGCAGACCCTGAATGAATGTTCATTGCATGTATGCCTATATGTTCTACAGAATACAAACTCTTTTATTAAGATTCTACAGAATACAAACTCTTTTATTAAGATTCGTGCACGTGTCAGTTAAAGTGTACTAAGAAGTCATGTTTTATGCAAGGTCCTTGACATTTACCTGTTATCTCTGACCATAATAACTGTTTCCTCAAGGTCTGTTCCTGACCCCATTCTCCCATCTTAAAATTCTCTAAAACTGGTTTTCTTTTTTATTAACTTTAGCTTAAAAAAAAAAAAAAAATCTAGCCTTGGGCTTTAACAATTTCATCCAACCTTAATCAATGCATAAATCCAATTCATGACATAAAAATTTCCATGGTTTTGCTTAAATATTACCAATTGCTGAGAATCCTGTAAGAAGCATCTACTTGGTCAAAAACTGTTCATTAAATTACTTCAGTACCTTATTTTCCTCAAAAATACACCTTTCATAAGGGTTCAACACATAATACCATTCAATTTGCTTAATCACAATTTCAATATATACATATTTATTTATATTTGCACACACACAAACACTCCAAATCCATTCTTCAAACAAAATCTTACAAAGAAACCTGTTATACTCAACACTAAAACAAATATACTGTATGATGGGAGTAGCTCGAAAACTCTTTTAGTCTATAGGTGAATGAGCGAAGAGTGAAGTCGCTCAGTCGTGTCCGACTCTTTGCGACTCCGTGGACTGCAGCCTACCAGGCTCCCCCGTCCATGGGATTTTCTAGGCAAGAGTACTGGAGTGGGGTGCCATTGCCTTCTCCAGGCTATAGGTGAATAAACCAGTATAATTCATTTTTGTCTTATACCACAGGAAAACACCTGCAAGACTTATTAGAGTAACACACTTGAATGACTATACTTTTTAAAAAGTATATACAGGATTATAATACTCTGGTTTCTACATTGAAATTATAGTTAAGTAATACTAAACAGTAGTATTTCTTAGCTTTTATTTTCATATAAGTTTCACTTACCTGGTCAGCTAACATAAGTACAGTTTTCATTGTGAACCTTCTTGAACAGAAATTGAAGAGGTCTTCAAGGCTGGGTCCAAGAAGATCCATAACTAGCACATTATAGTCTTTTTCCTGACCATACCACCTAACAAAGAGGGAAAGAGGAAGGCATTATAAAAAGCTGATTATCACTTAACATCACCAAATTTTAAAAATGTAAGATAGTTTCCCTCTAGGTTTTTATTTAAGGTTGTTTTCCTCTATTTAGCTGATGACCCCACTTACTGACTACATTGCCCAACACAAAATAATGTATAAAGGGATTTTTTTCTGTCAAGCAACCCATTGTCCCATTAAGTTAGTACTTGTGTGGCAACCTTAAAATGCTTCTTAAGCACAGCAGCTGAATTCTCTATCCATCCACCATTAATTCCTGTAACCTTGGGCAAGTTTCTAAACCTCACCTGGTCTTACTTTTTAATTGAAAAAATGAAGGAGATTTTTATCAGTCATTCCAAAATGTTTCAGAGCGTAAATATCCATTGTATTATAACTCTTGTCCCACTTCCTACCAAGTTCTATTTATAAGGAGTCTCATTTTTGCTTAGCTCCAGATTACAGAAAATACTCCCATTACCACAAGGATGACATTCACTTTTTATTAGAAGGATCATGCTTTAATTATCCATTGCTATATTTCTCTGTATATACATTTATCCCCAATAACGAGGAATATCAACTGCTAGTTTCAGAGACTCTAAGGATTAGGAATCACTGCAGTAAGTGATTGCAAGTGTCTATATGTCTCTAGGTCAGATAAGGGTAGTTTCTGAAAAATATTTACTATCATTTTTATTTTAAACTTAGCTAAATTATGAAATTTGCTTGAGGGAATTCCCTGGCAGTCCATGGTTGGTTGAGACTCATTGCTTCTATTACAGGGGGCATGGGTTTGATCCCTGGTCAGGGAACTAAAGATCCCACATGCTGCATAGTAAAAAAAAAAAACACCAAAACCCAGCTTGGAAAAGAACTGGCTTTTATTTAAAATGCAAACAAAACAAAAGAGGAAGCTATTTTAAAGCTCACTGAAGTGATGTCTTTAATAACTCTAATAAGAAACTATATCTGGATTTACCATTTGAAAAGTTTACATGTTTTAAAAATATTCAGGACTCCCCTGGTGGTCCAGTGGCTAGGACTGTCTGGGTTCCCAATGCAGAGGACCTGGGTTCAATCCCTCAGCAGGAAACTAGATTCCATATGCCTCAACTAAAGATCCTGCATGTTGCAACTAAGACCCGGTGCAGCCAAATAAAAATGTATTTGAAAAAAAAAAAACTCAAAACAAGGAAAAAAATGCTTTAAAAAAATCTGTTTTAAACATTTAGTGTTTTTGTTATTCAGTTTCTCAGTCATGTCCGACTGTGACCCCACGGCCTGCAGCATGCTGGGCTTCCCTGTCCTTCACCATCTCTCAGAGCTTGCTCAAACTCATGCCATCCAACCATCTCATCCTCTGTCGTCCCCTTCTCCTCCTGCCTTCAATCTTTTCCAGCAACAGGGTGTTTTCAAACAAGTCAGCTCTTTGCATCAGGTGGCCAAAGTATTGGAGTTTCAGCTTCAACATCAGTCCTTCCAAAGAACACTCAGGACTGATCTCCTTTAGGAAGGATTGGTTGGATCCCCTTGCTGTCCAAGGGACTCAAGAGGCTTCTCCAACACCACAGTTCAAAAGCATCAATTCTTCGGCGCTCGGCTTTCTTTATAGTCCAACTCTCACATCCATACATGACTACCGGAAAAACCATAGCTTTGACTAGACGGTTTGATTTAGGATTAGCACTGACTGGTTTGATCTCCTTGCTGTCCTATTTAAGTGTGGTCCCATATTCAGGTCCAAAGAATACTATCCCTAGAATTTTTGTAAAAGATCACAAAGGGACTAGACTTAAAAAGCGCACATTGTTTCCTACACTTTTGTTTCACCTGTTCCTGAGGACTACTTTGCAAACAGCAAACATGAATAACTACCAAACACACAAAGAGGAATTCATTTTCACATGTCTTTGCTGAAAAAGATAGCCTGGTGGGGAAAGAGGGTTTTTTTTAAACCTTATAGAGATTGTGCCCACTAGCCTAGGAAAAGCAACCGAAGTGCCAATCTGCTAATGGCTGAGATTGTATCTAAAACCGTGTTCAAAGCTTCTGTAAAATTCTCTTTTCAATCCTTTATTTTCCATACAGGAATTCAATACTCTTCACATTCATTCCAACATTTACTTTGAAGAAAAGCTCTTTCACACACAAAAAAGGTCACAATGGTGGGTTTTGGGGGGTTGAAGGATAGGAGTGGAGGTGGGAAGAGATGGGTAAAACAAAACAAATAATAATACTGAAAGATAAGTGATGAACAAAATGAAATAGAGTTATGTTCTCCTTTCCTGATTCCTCTCGTTTTCCTTCATCTTTCTCCTTTCTGTACTTAACTGCAGAGGCAAATTTGTGCTGGGAAGCTATTAGGAACTTCAAAACCAATTCTTACCATTATAAATGGTAAGACACTAAGAATTATGTGTGTCGGACACTAAGAATTATGGCAGATTTTTAACATAAATCTAATTTAGCTAGGTTTTAAAGAAAAAGAAATGACTCTAATCAAGAATACAAAGTACAGAAAATGCTAAGGAGGTGAGGGGAAGTCACTAAAGCTAAAGGCAAAAGAGAAAGCACAAATCAACTCTCATAAGACTACATCTCACAAGTACATCAACAAATTTTGTACCAATAGCTCCTTAACAAAATTACAATAAAGTGAATTTTACAAGCATACAATCCAAACTACAAATCTGACATGTCAAAGGCACAAATTCATACTTCACACTGCCAAGTAATCACCCAATTTCAAAAAGCACTTTTTGAGAAGTCATATGCAAAGTAGGCCTTTAACAGAATACTCTCAGAATAATTAGAAACAAGGAAAAATCAGATGAATTTAGAAACATACTTAAAAAAAAAATCAAGTCATCAAGCATTTTTCTTCTTATTGCTTTAAGTGTATGAATTTAAGTCCTGCTGGTTCAGCAGTAAAGCATCTAAGTGCAGTAGAGACGCAGGAGACTCGGGTTTGACCCCCTGAAAAGAAAATGGCAACCCACTCCAGTATTCTTGCTGGGAAAATCCCATGGACAGAGAAGCCCGGTGGGCCACACTCCATAGGGTAGCAAAGAATTGGACACAACTGAACATGCGCGCACGCACATACACACACACACAACTTTAAGACATATCCTCTATTCTCAATGTCAAGAAGATATTCAATAACAAATAGCTAAAACATAAATGTTTCAATTTTTCCCCAAAGTGCAACAATGCATTTCTAAAGTACTCAGGCCTTTCTGCTTAGAAACTGGTATTTTAACTCCTTACATCTAAGTGACAGGTGTTTCTATCTTTCATATTCCCTTCTGATCTCAGGGCTTCCCTGGTGGCTCGGATGGTAAAGAATTCACCAGCAATGCAGGAGACCTGGGTTCAATCCCTGATTTGGGAAGATCCCCTGGAGGAGGGTGTGGCAATTCACTCCAGTATTCTTGCCTGGAGAATCCCCATGGACAGAAGAGCCTGGAGAGCAAGGAATATATAACTAATTTCTGGAAACCTAAGACCTCACACCCTCCCCATCTGTGTTTTCCACCTGTGCAATCCATCCAGACCTTATTACACACAGATGAGGAGCCAGGAACAGTCTTCTGCTTACCCAAATCATACTCACTCAGTTTCTACCTTCACCTCCATGTTTTCCTTTTATTCTGAGAGCTTCTAACTCTCCACTTTCAGTCACAACATACTAATACCCAGCTGTCAGAGAAATCTTCCTTAAGTAGCCTGTCTCACACAGATCTCTCATTTCACAGAATTCCCATAGCCACTGACCACTGCTTAAATCCAAGATCTAACCCCTTGACAGTACAAATATTCATGTACTGTTACTCTGGTGCTTCACTCTCTCTCCACCTGGTAACACAGGGCTTACTGTTTGTTTTTTATAAGTCTTCATAGAACCTGGGTAATGAGCAAGCACAAACCTGATTCTCTGAGGTCATTTAAGTTTGCAGACTACCTGAAATACACCAAAGTGAAAGCCTCACTCCTATTTCTGCCTTCAACCAGAAACTCAAGGTCCTATCTTTAGATATTTTTTCATGTACATAACAATGTGTTGCTACTAAGTACACACACTGTGATAAGAGGCTTCCCTGGTGGCTCAGATGGAGAAGAATCTGCCTGCAATGCGGAAGAAATGGGTTTGATCCCTGGGTGGGGAAGATCCCCTGGAGAAGGGAATGGCTACCCGCTTTAGTATTATTCTTGCCTAGAAAATTCCATGGAGAGAGGAGCCTGGAGGGCTACAGTCCATGGGGTGGCAAGGAGTCGGACACTGAGCGAATGACACCTTCACTTTCACTTCACACTATGGTAATGTGCACACTGTAGGTAACTCTGATAATTTATGAGAGTAAAAAAAAAAAAACTGGTTTGATTTGGACCTTATGTAGTTTCAAAACATGCAGAAAAATCAAATAATTTAATGGATGAAAGTAAAATCAAAAGTACAAGTTCTCGTTTCCTGTTTCAAATGTCTTTAGACTCAGTGTTGCCTGATCAATCAAGGAAACAGGCCTAAGAATGAGTTTGCAATTAAAAAAAAAATCATCATTACTTACTGAGAGCATTAGAAAAGGTACCTTAAGGTCTGAGGAAAATTCTAACGGAAGGCACAGTCCATCTCTGATCTCATCTTGTTCTTCTAAACCCCTACCCAAAGTAATTCTAGCTAAAAAATTAAGACACATGTAAAAAGCACAAACTTAAGATGACACATGTACAAGTCACTGGGGCTGACCAAAAATTGCTAACAGAATTCAGAAAAGCAAACAAACAAACAAACAAACAAACAAAACAATGGGTTGAACGGCATCTGTCTAAAGAAAGAAACCTAGTGAAAATGGCCTATTACCAATCAGATCCTGAAGGAGGGATAACATTTCAATAGGGAAGGTAGGAAAGGATGTCTTAAGCAGGGGGCAAGAAGAGACACAGGTTCATACAAAGGGGAGAATCAAAGTGACTGATAGTTTGGGG